AGTATGATGTATGGGAAGGCATAATCTAAAGGCAAACATGGAAGACATTAGCAGGAAAAAGGCATGATTTACAGTTCAGAGAAAGTTTTTCCACATATAACCACAGGTATGAAGTAAACTCCAGCCCATCTTTCATCAGCACATCACACGTGCACAGCAATAGGGGTCAGCCAAGCACAACTCCACAACAGCTCTCACTGAGCTTTTCAAACTTCTACTGTTTCTTGGTGGAGTTATTGTACACTTAAACCACGAACTGAAAAGGGCAGATAATAAGAAAAGTAGTCAGGCTGAGAGATGATTTTGTGGCACCTCTCCACATGTGACAAGGATGCTGGAAGCTAAACCAAAAATACCCTATCTTCACAAACCTATACTGTAATCCATCTCCAAAATCAAACTCTGCCTTAGCAGAAAGTGGAATTAACTCCCTCTGAAGTAATTTCCTCTCATAATGCACTCTATTCCTTTTTTTGGGAAAGGGACAGTCTCTAGCAGCATTGGCTGAGGCAAAGCAGTGGGTCAGGAGCCTAGTGAGGTCAGGGCTACTAATGAGCAACCTTTTCAGGTCAGAGTCCTCACAATAAACAATGTCCTTATTCCCAAAGCAAAAAGTGTCCCTTCCCTCCCTCCCATAAATCACTTCTTAGTGTGCATTTACAGGTATGTTTATGAGTGTTATTAAGAGAGAACTCACAGAGCAGGCCTCCTCCCACAGCCTGCAGCACAGTGAGGATGGGGAAGAAGTACAGTGCTGCATAAATGCTTTTGAATCGATCAGACTTTCCCAAGCCACAGGCAATTTTCTTAACCAGGAGAGGCCGAAGGAGCATCATTAGCACAAGACAGAATGCGTAATATATAAACACAATGGTGTACCTGAGGAGAAAAAAAACAGAAATTCCTTCAAATGTGCAGTTTTCTCATGGAGACTCAAGTCACAACCAGGGAATTTGGGGTTAGTCAGTGAAGTCTAAAGAATTTATAACCAAAGGATGTAAACACGGAATGATGGGCTCACTTTTCCAAGGGGGAAATGGTCAAGATGTAGCAAAGGAAAAGAAAAAGAAATAAAAAGCAGCTTTGAGCTTCATAGCTAAATAGTGAGAGGATGAAAGGACATAGTCCCAGGCTGTGTCAGGGGAGATTCAGGTTGGACATCAGGAGGAATTTCTTCATAGAAAGGGTGATTAAACATTGGAAGGGGCTGCCCAGGGAGGTGGTGGAGTCTCAGTCCCTGGAGGTGTTTAAGGAAAGACTGGACATGGCATTCAGTGCCCTGGTCTAGTTGACAGGGTGGTGTTGGGGCACAGGTTGGACTCAATGATCTCAGAGGTCTTTTCCAGCCCAGTTGATTCTGTGATTCTGTTTGACAGCCTGGACTGTGCCACCTTCTCTGGTTACTCAGAAAGTCATTAAGTGGTGGGAAATGTTTCTCATATAAAACAGCTCAGTGCATCAAAGACTTCAGGGTATTGATACTCATTGATCTGAGCTGCATCTGAACACTTTCTGCAGTGTTGAGAAGAGGCACAGACACAAACACAGCTGTATAAAAGAGAGGGACACACAGGAGCACAAAAGCCTTCACACTCACAGGGGGTAGACAGCCTCGTGGGTGCAGTGCACTGTGGTGATGTAGTCGGGGCTGGGGTTGTAGAGCATCGTGTACCAGTCCGAGAGCTTCTTCACCCTGCAGGAGCGGATGTGCAGGGACCCCACGGGGTCACTGACCAGCAGGGTGACCACTGCTGCAATGCTGCACTCCAGCAGGGCTGTGATGTGCTGCAGCAACGCGCTGGAGCTGAGGGGCAACACAGAGAGTTACTGGTTTTCTAACTCTACAGGAAATCTAAACACCGACTGAAAAGCAGAGGCCTGTGCAGGACAGAACCTCCTGCAGAGTTAATATTCGCTGTGACCAACGTTGGGGCAGCTCTGCCTGGATAAATTCAGTGTTTGAAGCTGAGTGTGAAAACTCATTTACAATCTCAGATGGTTTGGTGTGTAAAATGGGCAAAGAAAGCAGCAGTGAGGATAACACACCACATGTCTCAGAAGGGGTAATGCTGTTACATATGATATAAGAAACATTTTCAAAGATACAAGTCCTTTTTAAAGACTGTCCCTGGAGGTGTTTCAGGAAAGACTGGATGTGGCACTTAGTGCCATGGTCTAGTTGACAAGGTGGTGTTGGGTCATGGGTTGGACTTGATGATCTCAGAAGTCTTTTCCAACCTAACTGATTCCATGATTCTGTATATATTCATATATTAAACTCTCCCAGTCCCCTATGTTTTCAGTGTTTATAGAATCACAGAATGGTTTGGGTTGGAAGGGACCTTAAAGATCATCTTGTTCCAACCCCCTGCCATGGGCAGCGACAGTTTAGTACACTCCAGTCACTACTTCTTAGAAGTTCTAGTCTAGCACCCAACATCTCCAAGTTCTAGTCTAGCACCCAATGGCCACATGGTAGCTGTGGGTTTAAACCCCTTTTTAACAGAAATTCCTTGATGTACCATGCCCAGAATACATATTCCTAAAGAGAGAACTCAAATCCATTCTCTGGCACTGACCAGGGCCTCTATGGGTAAGAGGTCTGACCCAGGATTGAGGGGATGACACAACCCACTACTCCTGCCTGCTGGGAAACCCAATCCAGCCCAAAGTGGCAGATGGAGTGGGCATCATTAAACAGATACAGACCATGCCCCGAGGGCACTGACTGGCAAAAAGGATCTGCAGGACCCTTACATTAGCAAATAAATCCCCCTCCAGCTGCTCAAAGCTTATGTGCTACCATATCAGCTCGACCAACAGCCAGCCTGGAGAGGGCTTGGAGCAACCTTGTCTAGTGGAAGGTGTCCCTGCCCATGACTGGAGGTGTGGAAACAGATGGCCTTTAAGGTCCCTCCCAACCCAAACCATGCTGGAACTCTAAGAACTGCTGGACAGTTAAATTCATCATCTCTGACTGATCACTCGTGGATACAAGATTTCCATTTTTAAACAACATATCTACAGAAGGGCCACACAAACCTCTTCTTTCCAGAATACCACTCAATAAAGAACCAGTGTAAGACCAGGGGCAGCATGGCCATGAAGCCGAGGTAGAGCCAGTCATAGCGGTCTGGAGATCCTGTACATTCCCTGCAGATCTTGTTGTCATCAGTCCTCTGACCTCTGGGACACACCTGCAGAGAGCAGAGATGGGATTTACAACCCGAGGAACAACAGCACATCATTGCAGTTCCTGGACAAACAGCGTGAGGCAGCACTGGGGCAAGAAACTGATCAAATGTTTAAAGAGATGAAACAAAAACATCAGTAATGTCTCAGCTTACACTGGCCTTGCTCTGTCTGGCTCCTGCTTCTTAATAGAAACAAGGGTGAAGCATGATTCAATTTACCCACCAAGCTGCTCACAACCACTGTCCCCCAGTTTCTTACTCCCCTCCCTGGATCTTGCTCTCCCTCAAAAATAAAATCCAATTAAATCCGAGTGATTTCAGCACAGCTCTCCACCTCATCCCGTCCTGTTCCAGTTTTTCCAGCCCCTCCGCTCAGCTCTGGTTTGGGATCGAGTTTCCAGCACCTCCTTCCAGGGGACGTTCACGGAGCAGTTCCTGTTTAGCTCAGGGACCTCTCCCCGCCCTCGGCGACCCCAGCGCCCCGATCTCGAGGGGATCGATCCCATCTCACGGCGGGACCCGCCCCAGCCCGAGCTCGGGGCCACCCCGTGCCCAGGCCGAGCCCCGCACTTACCCCGCAGTCCCCGTTAGGTCTCCACGGAGCCGTTCACCGATAGGACGGTCCTGCCGCAGTACAGCCCGAGGCAGGCGGGCTGGATGTCCACGGCTGCGGAGAGATCGCGGCGGACAGGGGCTGTTATCGAGAGGCGCACCGAGCCCACTCCAACCTCATCCCCATCGTTACCCCCACTCTCTTTCCCATCCTCATCCCCATCCCCATCCCCATTCCCAATCCCGGCCCGTCCTACCGGCGCGGAACATCGCTGTTACCCGGCAACCGCCCCGCCACCACACTTCCGCCTCGGGCGCTTCCCGCTTCCGCCCACGGGACGGAGGGCCCTGCTGATCAATGTGAGGCGGGCCACCCGCAAGGGCGCGCCAGACATGGGGGCGTGGTATAGAGGGGGCGTGGCTTTGGGTTTGGCTCCGGCGGGGTGGGCGCGGCCTCAAACGGGGCGCGGCTTTCTGACAGTGGCTCTGTCACTGTCGAGTGGGCGTGGCCTTCTGGTGTGTGGCGTGGCCTCGACCGTGCCGGGCGCGTCCCCCGCGGTGCGCATGGCGCGCGGGGCGGCGGTGACAGTGTCGTTGTCGCGGTCGGTGTCGGAGCGGAAGCGGGCGGGCCGCTGCCGCCGCACTCGCCCTCGGCCCGGTGCTGCAGACGGTGGAGATGCACACGTGGCGGGCGAGCCGCTGCCGCCATCATCCCGCGGCTGGAGGCGGCGGAGCGGGCGGCGGCGCGGCCGGGCTGTCGCTGCTGTCCGCTGCGGCGGGATGGTGGCGGCCCGCGCAGGACCACGTGCGGCTGGCGCTGGGCACGAAGGCCCGCCGCGCGGCGGCAAACTGCCGCATGCTACGGGCCGTGGTGGTGCGCGGCGGGGCGCGCCGCGGAGGGCGCGCACCTGCGGCGCTGTCCTGCCACGGGCCGGCTACAGCGCCATGTGCGGACACGCACGTTGATGGCCCCTCGGGAGCGGTTCGCGCTCGACTACGGGCTGTGCCGCGGAGCCCGGCCCGCCCGGAGACCGCGTCCGCCTGCGCTTGCCCTGCGGGCTCGTCACCGCCTGTTCGTGCCCTGGGACGCCGCGCAGCGGCAACCCGTGCGCTGCCACAGCGTATGCCCGCTCTTCGACCGCCGCTACCGTGGGCAGCCCGGCCCGCTGCAGTGGGCTTTGGGGGGCTGGGGGCTAGTGGCCTGGCTGAGGCGCATGTGGCAGATCCGTCCCTGATTCTGATGCTCTTCAGAGGTTGTTGGGGTGGCATAAGGCATCACATGTATGGGAGCACCTACACATCGTCCCAACCACTGCCCTTGCGTGAAGTGAGGTTCCTTCACTCCGTATGCAAGCAAGCCCATGGCTCAGCACGGTTTGCCCTGCTTACCTCCCTCCCTTTCTCTGCTCAGACTTGGCCATTGACGTCCCTGGCCATGGGAAGGTGGTGGTTGACATCGGCTACGGCGGCACTTTCTACGCCTTCCTTAGCGCCGAGCAGCTGGGCCTTGATGTGTGCTCCTCAAAGACCAGAGACCTTGTCAGTGCAGCGAGCGCAGTGACAGAAGCGGTGAAGAAACAGGTATGGGGGAGCACCGTGGCACCCCAGCACATTCCCTTCGAGGTGACTGCACCAGACTGAGACACTCAGGAGGGGGGGGAGTCCCATCCTTCCAACCTCATGGTGAATCTCAGAGTCCTTACAAGGACGTAAGAAGGAGCTCCTGCTGCGTCCATCTCTGTTACTGCAGAAGCAGAGGTGGAAACGCAGCAGTGTGGCCTTGCCCCCTTCCTCTGGTCTCTCATGGAAGCTGTACTGCACATGCTGCTGCTGTGTGTGACCCTCTCTGTGCTGTTCCCAGTTCAAACTTCATCACCCTGAAAGTGAAGACCTGGCTTTCCTCTACGGCACCATCCTGACAGATGGGAAAGATGCCTTTAGTGAGGAGCCCACCACCAACATCTGTGTGTTTGCAGATGAGCAGGTACAGAAATGGGCTCTCCTCAGGCACATGAGGCACCACCTTTGTCCCCTCTTACGTCCTCTGCAGAGAAGAGGGACAGTTCTGCTGCTCAGTTTGGGCAGTGATTACTTTTTGCTAGTCATGTCTCTGAAGAGCCAACTGTCATTTCACATGTCCTGTTTTAATTCATAATGGCAGAAATACTTCTGTGCATCTTAGGTGGTGACCTTTTAGAAAGGTTTATACCTACAAACCCTTTGATAGGAATGTCCCAGGGGCAGGGTGGCCTTAGCCCCTCTGAGTCCTTTTGTTGTGATGCTGGTAAGCTTTCGAGTGCTCCCTAAATAGCCTCAATATTTATTAGATCATCCATCCCTATAAGTGTGCCAAAGCTAATCGCAATCCAGAAGTACCCCAAACCTCCCGCTGTGATATATCCAGGTTCTGCACAAAACCCTGGGCTAGAGGGATTTCCCCCAAGCACAGTATCAAGGTGCCAGAGAGATCTGAGGGGAGCCATACTGTTTTCTATGAAACTCCAGAATAGTAGAGCTGGTTCATCATCTCCTCTGCATGTAGGTTGACCGAAGTCCGACAGGTTCGGGTGTGACAGCTCGCATTGCCCTGCAGTACCATAAGGGACTCATCCAGCTGAATCAGACCAGAACCTTCCGGAGCAGCACCACAGGCTCCTTGTTCACTGGGAAGGCAGTGAAGGCAAGTGGCTTGTGCTGGTCTTTCCCCCTGTCTCAAGGACTGCTGGAAAATTGCTGTTGCCTTGGCTCAGTGGGGAAGCAGAAAAGCCTTTCTGTTGCCTGAGGAAGAGCATGTGGAAAGGGGGAGGTGCCTGGGGGTCTTGCCCTCCCATAAACCTCATGCTTCAAGGATTTTAATCAGAAAAGCAAGTGACAATAAGTCCTTGTTGTGTTGCACGGCTGCTGCACACTTTGTGATGCACTTGGGCAGAGCACAGTGCTCCAAGAGGGGTGTCTGCATAAGTGCCAGGTAGCACTGGCATTTTCTGGGGTTGGGAGTGTGGAAACCTGCTGTCGCCTCTGTCCTGATCCTGATCCCTCTGCAGGAAGCCAAGTTTGGCGACTACAACGCTGTCGTTGTGGAAGTCTCAGGAGAAGCCTTTTACACTGGCACAGCCACCTTCACTGTCGAGGAGGAGGACCCACTCAAATACGGCTTCTTGTTCAAGTGACCCGAGCCACGGGTGATGGCAAAGTCTCGCTGGTGGTGCTGTGCTTCTCCTGCCCGTGAATTTCTGTTCTTGCTGCGATATGCCAGAGCAACGGGAACAGCTTTGGGTGGTGTGACAGCATCTGCCGTGTTTCAAGATAACAAGCTGTGTTGCCCTGTTGTGATGAGCATATTGGGTGCGCTGTGATTAGCATAAACGGGCTGCTCTGAGAAGCCATAATATTTTTCTTCTTTTTTTTTCTTTTTTCCCCAGTAATTACTCACAGAAAACAGAACTGATCTTGGAGAGCTGTCTTCAAAGTTATGTGCCTTCTCTATATCTGAAAATTATGAATTTTAAAACCAGATTCGTATTAAATGCCAGCTGAAAACACTTCCTTTCTCCTCTTATTTTCCCTCCCAGAGCACATTTCCAGGATTCTACTGTGTGTGTCATGGCTGTTGGTTTGAATCCTTGTTGTGTCCTGCGCAGCCAGCCATGCTGCTCTGTCTCATGCCCTGTCTTCCCTTCTTAGGCCTGTCCAGATACCTCCTTCCTCCATTACACCTGCTTCACTCCACCAGATCTCTCCTGCATCCCAGAGCTGGGGATGAATTTCCCACTGTCCCCACTGCGTGAGCGTGCCATGCTGCTTCCCTAAACCTTCCTCTCTGGCTTATCTCAGACCACTGGCTGCAAATACCCCATGGTTAACTTTCAACAGGAGCAGCTGTATTCAAAGGTCTGAGCTATTATGACCTTAGGTAATTATTTACTGATGATTTTGTCTCAGTCCAGGGGCAGCTTGTGCAGTGGAGTGCAATCAGTGTTTGCTTTGCCAGAGTCCTTCCAAGGGAGGATTGCCAATGGAAAAACCAAACCAAGCATTTGCAGTGGCAGGAGCCAGAGCTTCAGACCACTCGTGGCCTGTCATTTCCACTGTGTCTCTGGACAAATTGGTGCTTGTTTACTGAAGACACTTGTGGGAGTGTCTGGGTGTACTTGTTAAAATGAGACATGAAAATGAGAATGATCATCTCCCAGGAGCTCTTGCAGCAGAAGGGAGAAAGTCATACTGGTGAGCTTGGAAAACACTGGCATCAAAACGCCTGGGAGGAATTTCTTCTGCCAAGTTGAAAATTATAACTTTGGAATGGGAATGAACAAAAATCATCCCCTCATTCAGAGAATGCCTGTGCTGCCAAGAGAGTTTTTATAGGACAGTGTTTGGAGCTCTTGCTCACAGCTTTCCTGTAACCCCTCAGTAAATCCTGTACAGCTTCTGGTCCTGAGGAGCAACAAGTGACATGCACACCCTCCATGCTTGCAGGACCAAACTCCTCCATGTGTTTTCAGCTTCTGGGCTTCTCCCTTGTGATCAGCCCCCCAGCCTTGCTCGCAGGAAAGAGCTGGGACAGCAAGTCACAAAGCCCAGCACAGAATGTTTTTAAGCTCTTCAGCCATTAATTGGGATGCAGCATTCATTAGCTATTCACTAGCCCCATCCCTAGGAAACTTTTCAGGTAGAGGCAGGCAGCTCCAGCATGGCTGAAAGAAGGGGGACAGGGTCCTGTGCCCATGTGGGGGTCCCTGACTGGATTCCTCAACCCTACAGCTGGTGACATCTCAACCTCCAGCCTGGAGAGTGGGAAGGGGAGCCCTCATCTCTCTCTACAACTACCTGAAAGGAGGGTGTAGCCAGGTGGGGGTTGGTCTCTTTTCCCAGGCAACTGTCAACAAGACAAGAGGGCATGGTCTTAAGCTGTGCCAGGGGAGGTTTAGGTTAGATATTAGAAAGAATTTCTTTACAGAGAGGGTAATCAGCCATTGGAATGGGCTGCCCAGGGAAGTAGTGGATTCTCCGTCCCTGGAGGTTTTTAAGATGAGATTGGATGTGGCACTTAGTGCCATGGTCTAGCAACTGCAGCGGTAGTGGATCAAGGGTTGGACTTGATCTCAGAGGTCCCTTCCAACCCAGCTGGTTCTATGATTCTATGAAGGGGGGTGGTCCCAGCCTCTGCCAGTGTCTGGGGGTAGCTGGTCCTTCATGATGGAGAGGGGGACAGGAGGGGAGAGGGATGTGAGGGGAGAGGGATGTGAGGGGAGAGGGATGTGAGCAGAGGGGGGGGTGACAGGATCTGCGAGTAGAAAAAGGTCTATGGGGACCCATCCCCGACTCTGGGATGGGAATGACGCCAGTGTGGGGTGAGGTGGTCCTGGCCTCTGCCAGAGCGTCTGGGGGTTGCTGGTCCTTCGTGATGGGCTGCGGGGCTGTACGGGGAGAGCAGCCAGGAGGGGAGAGGAGTTGACAGCGTCTGGGGGGGTCCCATCCCGGACTCTGGGATGGCGATGACGCTGGTTTGGGGTGAGGGGGGATCCCCGTCCGCAGCCCAGCCGGATGCCGGCATCCGCTCGGCCCCGTGCCCGGCTGTGGGGCCGGCCGGGCGGGCGGGTTCCCCGGCAAACGGCGGCCGAGCGTACCGTCAGCGGACCGGCGGGGCCGGCGAGGGCGGGCGGGCGGCAGCCGCCCTCTCAGCCGCGGAGGGCGCGGGGCACGAGTGCGCATGAGCGGGAAACATCTCCACGGGGCAGAGCGGCGGCGGGCAAGCGAGAGCGGGCCGGGGGGCGGCGGCGGCGGGGCCCCGGCCGGGGTGGGGGGGGGGGTCCCCCCCTTGGGGGCGGCGGGGCGGCGGGGGGGCCGGGGGGCCTTTTTTTGGCCTGCAGGGCGGCCGCGCGCCTGCTCATTTCGCCTGTCGGCGCTGGCAAACGGGGCGGTGCTGCTGGTGAGATCGCCCGGCAGCCGGGCAGTCTCCGCACGGTCACCAACGCATTCGTGCTGTCCGCTGTCGCTGTCGGAGCTGCTGGGCGCCTGCTCTGCCCTGCCGCCTGGCCTTCCTCAGCCTGCTCAGCCGCCCGGCCGGCTAGGCCTCTCGGGCAGCGCCTGTGCTGGCCAGCGCCGCCTGCACGATTGAATTCGGTGGATGTGTCCGGAGGGGGCCGGGCTAGGAAGATAGGCCGCACGCTCACCATGGCCCTGCTCTCCTTCGACGCTACTGTGCCAGTCGTGCGCCAGCCCGGGGCACAAGAATGGCCCTAGCAGTCGCGCTGCGCCAGGCCTGCTGGCGGCCGTCATGGCTGTGCGCGGCGCTGGCGGGCTGGTACGGGCTTGGCGGGTCGAGGGGCAATCGCGACCGTGGCGTGCTCCTGTGCTGCGGCTGGGGCCGCCCTACGGCGCGGCCCTCATCGTGCTCTGCTACCTCCTGCCCTTCGCCGTCATGTGCTTCTGCCACTTCAACATCTGCCGGGCGGTGCACCTGGCCGAGAGCCGCGTGCGGCCCCTCACCACCTACGGGCACCTGCTGCGCGCCTACGGGGAGATGCGCACGGCCACCACCGTCCTCATCATGATCGTCTCCATCATCTGCTGCTGGGGACCCTACTGCATCCTGGGGCTTGCCGCCGCCGCCGGCCACCTGCCCTTCTCGCCCACCATGGACGCCGTGGCCAGCGGGATGGCCTGGGCCAACGGCGCCATCAACCCCCTCATCTACGCCGCCCGCAACCCCAACATCTCTGTGCTGCTGCGGCGCAGCCGGGAGGGGGGCTACAGGACTCGCAACAACATGGTCGCCTACCTGTCGGTCCCAGGCCCCCAGCTGGAGCCCCGCAGCCGGGCTGACCGTGTCCGGGAACGCTACATTCAATCGTCACATCGCCCCCCTGGCGCGCCCCTGTCCTCCTCTAGCCCGGCGAGCCGGGGGAGAGGTGGCCATGTGGGCCTGCAAGACTCCTGCTGTGCTCTTCTGTAGGGATGGGCAGCCGGACACCATTTCTGAGGCCACCTTGAAGACCAAAGCAGGCGCCATCGACACCAGCCTCTGAAAGGACAGGGGTCCGGGATGGAGGCATTGGGTCCCGGGGCTGTCTCCTTGAGGAAAGGCGGGGAGAGTCCCAGTGCTTGGAGCCCTTTGCAGCCAGACTACCAGGAAACTGGAGAGATGGGACTGCGCACGAGCCATAGTGTGGTTTCTTCTCCATTGTGTGAGCGAGCTCTGGTTTGGTGGCCCAGACTGCGAGCAGCGAGAGCTCCACAGGGAAAGGAAGCCCTTTCCTTTCAGCAGGCCTGATGCACTGGTGACAGCCTCCGAGCCCAGCCAACACAAGAGCTCGACTGCAAGAACAAAACAGTGTTTGCTCCAGTCCTGCAGAAAGTGCCACAGTGAAGCTCAGAGGCCAACACACCACTGCAGCCCAAACTGACTGACTGACTGTGTGAACTGTTTGTTAAGTGCCAAAAAAGCTGTTGAAAGCTGAGCACTGGCAGCTGGAAGGCACTCTGAAAATATCACACTGTGAAAAATGCATCATGGCAGGATAATGTTGCTTTAACCCATTATATGTGGAAGTGCCAATAGTTATAAAGTCATGTAAGACTGTAAGACAGGCTAAAAAAGGGATCTATTAAGGTTATTTTTTTTTTTTAATTTAAACTCTGAAGCGTAAAAAACCAGTAATTTTGAAAGGGAAGATGTATGATACTGGGAGGGAGGGAAAGGAAGATGAAACCTCAGTTGTCAGAATTTCAGTGGCCTTTTCTGGTTTTTTTGCAGATATTTTTTTTAAATACTGTGAATATGAGAAACATGAGTTCCTCAGACAGACTGAGGAAAAGTGTGTGACCACAGACTGTGGTGTCACTGAGTTTGTGCTCAAAGGTGTGTGTTTTCTTTTTGAACTCACCTGAAGTGTCTCTTGTCTCTAAGTGTTTAACTGTGTTTAGAGAAGCTGTGTGGGAGAGGTATCTGAAAGGAGAGGTAAAGCAATACCATGTGCTCCCTGTGTGCTCTTCAGCATGTGAAAATCTGTATATGCAGAGAACAGGTATTATTGTATTGATGGCAGCAATCCGTTGGAGTATAATGTATAAAAACCACCTCTGTTTGATGTTGAAAAGGAAGGAAAATAACACAATAGAAGTGTGATTGTATGGCATAAATTTGTATTAATTTATCAGTGTAATCTTTTTGTTCGAAGGCCTAAAGCCTTAAACTAGTATTTTGAATCAGAAACTAAGATTGGGCCTTCCTTTGTTTTTGCCACAGTTAAGTGTGAGAGGTGGGCAGTGTTTTTCCGTGTACAGGCTTTAAAAATACAATGTTTCAGTTTTACCGGATTTTTCAACTGTTTGTGACGCAAGTAAACACACTGTCATTATTCTGTGAGACAAGAAATAAATTGTCTTTTATGCAGGACATGAAAGTGTCTCAGCCTGTCATGATTCTCAGGCCAGCCTTGAGAAGGGAACTCCTCTGAAAAATTGCCAGATGAATGATAGTAGAGAGACATAATTGTTTGTGAAATTTTAGTGCAGCTGGTTTCCATGGTCTAAGCATT